AGAGCAGTTACATGCTCTGAGCTTTATCAGCAGAAACTCCACCTTATAAACTGCCAAAGGGCATTGACCACTTTATTCATTTTTACCCTGATCTATTTCTCTTTTAAAACTCATAAAAAATCCCATTTCCTAGAAAGCCATCTCACAGGCTCCCAGTGTACCTGTTCATATCTAACACACAGCATTTGCCTCCCTCTCTGTTATTGTGGACTTGCCTTGTTGTGTGCCCCATCAGACTGTAAGCTTCCTGAGCACAGGAAAAAAAAAAATATCATTCAGTTCAACTACAGTCTACTTTCCTAGATGGAAAGTTGTTTATTGAATAAATCTTTTTATTAATATGACAGATAAGAGAAAATGATTTGATTGTAGGAATTGGGTTAGCTACAACACAACATGGAGAAGTCTCAGAAACTTAAGTATCTATTTTATTAACATAATATACTTTAAAACCTTGAATCTATTTTTTTCTGAATTAAGTGCTTTATAGTTTTTTTTCTGCGTTCCTGGTTCATAATATGTACATGATGAGCTTGCAGCAGAGCTATCTCATAACAGAACCTGGATGAACTTTTCTGCAATAATCGAAAATACTGTAGAATATGGTGACTTATGAAACAAACACTAAGTCACCAGAGAAGCAGGTGGTTGAGGGGAACTATTGTCTGGAAGCTAAATAACCTGCCTGTGTGGATACCTTTCCCTTGAGATGGTGGCTACTGGAAGCCAGAGACAGACCTTTCAACAAGATTAAAGAGATGCTATTAATTGCTATCGATCATGGGTCAACAAATTAAATTGCATCTGCAACTGCATCTCTGAAAGGTCTAAATGAGAAATGCAGTTAATGGGTCTGGCTGACCCAATGTTGTGATTAATTAAAAAGGGAATGCAACCAAAAAAAAAAAAAAAAAAAAAACAAAAAACAACAACAAAGGCAAAGAAATATATAACGGGAGAAGGGTGGACAACCTTAAAAATCTCAAGTTGAAAGGCTTTCCCAGGACCTAAGTTGTCATTTAAATCTATATATTCTGGGGGAAAAAACGAAAAACAGAAGGTCACAGTGAACAACTAAATACGTATTTTTTTGAATTTCTGGAATTCTGGTGAGCAACAATGTGAGAAACCAACATTTTGTATTTTGAAGGGGCAAATGAGGAAAGAGGTGCTGGAAACTTATAAGCAGTTTGTGTCACAATATGCAGATAAATTGTTTCACTATCATGTGAGATTAATATTTGCCACATACCAGTGAAAGAATTTGGTTATTCTCGCCATTCCAAATTTGACCTCCATTTCAAAAATACCTTGAAAAAAATATGACCAGTGGTAAACTTTGGCTATTCAAATTGTTTTTAGTCAAACCAAGATACAAATAGTGTTGGTAAATGGTGACAGGGTGGGCTGTCCCGAAGACTACTTCATCTGAGGTTGACTCTGAATATCTGATATATTGCCAGCATCTTCAGCATATTGTCCTAAAATACCATGAGCCACCCCTAGGTAAAGCATAAGTTGCATATTTTTGGTGGCGGCTTTATTGGCACAAATGTCCTAATCACCTGGGCTAGAAAATGTGACTGTTTTAATTCTTGTGGTTGATCCTCCATAATGTCCTTTTGTTCCAGCTGATCTGTTTGAGTCTTGCCATTCCCAGAACAGACCCTCATTCTTCGTCCTGGACTTTTGTGACAACCTCCCTCAATGTCTCCACCTCTCTCTCCCTAGGCCCCAAAGCATCATTCACTCTTATCAGATTTGTTTTTAAAATACAAATATGGCCATGTCACCCTGTTATTTGATGTTGATTAATCAACTTGTATCAACAAAAACCAAGTTGGATTTTCTTGGTATAATCTTCCAGGTCTTAACAATTGAATTTCCTTTCCAGACCCAATCTCCCTCTGTATGCCCCCATCTCTAGCCTTACACACTAAGCACATCTGACTGCTTCTTACACTCCAAATACTCTATATTCTATTCATTTTTTGTTGTTCTATAATATTCTCTGAAATACCTGCCCAACTTGTGTCTAACTGGCAAGATCCAAATCCAATATCACCTTATCCATGAGATCTCCTTTCTGATAGTATAAATCTTAATAATGATAGCTTCTTGTGCTAGGCCCTATTCTAAGCTACTTTATGGGTAGTGTTCTGTTTAATACTTACAACCCTCTGATATAAAAGCTGGTTCTGCCTCTTACTAATCATGGAAGCCTGAGAAAACCAAAAAACCTCTGTGGATTTCAGTGTTGAAGTCTGCAAAATGGGATTGCCAGTCCATAATTTCACGGTGGTTATGAGGATGGTTGACTAATGAATGCAAAATACTGTCTTGTGTGAAGTAACCAGTACAGTGTCTGACACTCAGAAGGGGCTCAATAAATGGTCTCTGAACTTGATATCCAAATTCTTCTCCAACCCTGCCTACCTCACATAATTATTTAGGCGGTTTTAAAACTAAAACTTTATTCTAGAAATGTAGTTTTTTTGAAAGTATCCCTACTCAAAACCAGGTTGTAATGTGAGTACTGGGATTATTGAAATTGGAGTTTGGGCTTCAAAGAATAGGATTTCAAGATTTTAAAGAATTAAGAAAGAAAGCCGTCATATCATTACCACAACTGAAAATACTTGGAATGTAAAGCAAATTTTGAGTTTCTAAAATTAAGTGAAAGAAATTCATTCAACTCAATCTATTTAACTCTTAACTTATGAAAGATAGTATGGTACTAGCTGTTTTGTTTCATCAAAAGAACAATATGCCTTCTGGGTGTACAAGGTTGACTAGGGAGAAGCAAGTATTCATACTAGACAGGTACAGTTTGAGGCTCACTGATAATGGTGTCACCCCAGTTTAAGGTATAAATCCCTTATGTATTTGATAAGGTACAGGTGAGATTGCTGGCTCAGAGATAGCATTTTGTCTTTCAATATCATCAAAATACATTTCTTTAAAAGAGTAATATTCCCAACATAAAACCTAAAGTAACAAACCCAGGACTCTCTCTCAGCTCACAGCTTTCTCCTCTAGACTTTGAGGTGTCCTCTCCATGAGACTTGAATCTGAATTGAACTGTAAGCAGTCCTGTACAATGGACATACAGAGTAGAGAATTTCTCTCTAGTTTGACATGAAAGAAAGTCTACTCTTGTTTTAAGAAAATGGTAGTGGAGCTGGGGTGTGTATTCTTGTGCGTGGGGATGCCATGCTGACATTTTCTTAGTGGTTGCCCTTGTTTTTCTTCCTCCAACAATGCAGAAGATGATGGCAATTCATAAAATATTGTTCAGTTTTGTTCTGCATTAAGCAATTTGTTTGTCTCAAGGAGAAGAAAAATAACAATTTACTCTTAGTCCCTAAGGAAAGCTTACATACATATCAAAGGCACTGTCTTCTGCGTTCTGGTCGTCAGCAACAATTCCTGCTCCAGGGCTCTTTGACCCTTGGAGGTCAATTGGTAGAAAGCCTCTTGCCCTGCTGTTTCCCTGCTCAGTCTGGAAAGAAGTTGAACATGGAGCTTTAAGAAACACACACCCTCGAAGAACAATAAGCTAAGGACTCTGTCAGAATTCATAGCTGAACTTAGGAGGCAAAACAACCACATCCAAAGTTATGGACTGTTTGAATCATGCAGACATCTCTTTCTCATATTTTAGAAAACCTAAGAAGTTTTAATAGGGATTAAATATTAAATGATACTAAGAATTTATTTTGTTAGGTTTAATAAAATAATGTGTAACAGTACGGTCTTGTAAGAAAATGTCACTTTTCTTAGATGATTACTGCAAATTGTAGGGATAAAATCATATGATGCTTGATATCTACTTAAAAAACTTAAGAGGGGTTGGGCACAGTGGCTCACACTTGTAATCCCGGCACATTGGGAGGCCACAGCAAGCAGATTTATTGAGCCCTTGAGATCAGCCTGGGCAACATGCAAAACTCTATCTCTACAAAAATATTAACCAGGCCTGATACGTCTGTAGTCCTAGCTACTTGAGAGGCTGAGGTGGGAGGGTTATCTGAGCCAGGGAGGTCAAGGCTGCAGTGAGCTGTAATCGCACTGCTGCACTCCAGCCTGTGTGACTGAGTAAGACCCTGTCTAAAAAAAAAACTTAAGGGGGATAAAGAATAAATGAAGTATTATATGGAGGGCATTATGTTAAGTGAAATAAGTCACACCAGAATGAAAAATACTGCATGATCTCACTTTTATATGCAAGCTTATTAGATTCTTGATTTGTAATTTAGGAATAACATTACCTCTTTAAAGGGGTTGTGTGAGAATTAAGTGTGATGATACAAGTAAATTTCAAGTCAAAGTCTCTGGCATATAAGTATTAAATGAACTGTAAGTAGTAGCATTGGTTATTTAATAAACATTTGTTGGATTGTTAAAAATATTCACAATATCTTGATCACAGTTGAATCTGGGCAATGGGTAAATGGAGGTTCTTTATACTATTTTCTTTATATATGTTTGAAAACTTTTATAATAAAAATTTCTGCTTTGCTACTTACTAGCCTGTGACTTTGGGCAAAGCATTTAGCCGTTTTATATTCTGGTTTCCTCAAGAACAAAGCAGAGATGACAAGAGTTCCTCTCTCATAGGTGTGCTGTATGGATTGAATACAATCCTGTGGGCCCAGAGCTTAGCACGGGGCCTGGCTCAGAGCCAGCACTCAATAATTATAGATTATCATTAGCATAGCATATGGATCTGGGGTCAGGAAAAGAATTTTACTATCGCTTACCCTCTCACTGCTGGCTTATTTGAGCCGCCTCTCGGATCCCCAAGTCAGCAATGCCTTGCATTATGAAAAATGAAAATGTGTGCAGGCAAATGCAAAAGCTAATGCTTCATTCTAATTGAATACAGCTCTAATGACACATGTACTTTCAGATGATAGAAGTAACCGAGAATTAGTCATTAAATAATGAGGGTAGGGAGAAGGGAGAAATGTGGGAAGGAAAATATACCACAAACAATGTTTGCTGGTTAACACACTTTATATTTAACAAAATAATTTTTTAATAATATATTCTTTTACACATGAAATATTGTTGCTAGAATCCCCTTTTTACAGTTTAGTGTTCAGGTTTTTTTTTTTTTTTTCTCACTAGTTTTCAGGCACACCATTTTTCAAAGATTTTAGAAACTGAATCATTTTTAATAGGCATCAGCTGACAAACAAGATGTTGATCCCTTATTTTAACATAGCCGTCATTAAAGCCGAGAACCAAAGGCGGAGGAGAAATAGGAGTACAGAGGTGACAGTGTGGCTGCGAACAAAGACTTCACAAGAAACAAACAACAGATGAGACCAGAGCTCTCTTGTTCAGAGTCCGGAAAGAATTTCTCAATGACCTGGGTAGAAGGAAGTTGTAAATGTTTATCAGTTTATGAGAAATTGTCACAGTATAAGTTCATCTCTCCCTAAAGAGGGAAAAACGTCAGTGCTACAAAATCTTAAAGGAAACAGCTTGTAGTGAAACTTTGAGAAAAAGAAAATCCAACAACAACAAAACCCACAATAAAACTCTCTCTCTCTAGCTGGTTATCAGAGGCCACAGAACAGCCTGCTTTCTGCAAACTCTCTGTAGAGAGATCCTTAATGGATGTCCCATTCCATTCTAGTAAATTCTTGCTGTGACTCTCACTGTGCCAATACTTAGATGCAAAATTTCTGCACTTCAGCTTCCCAGTTGCACTCTTTCTGTTTTCTAAAAAAGGACATAGTAACTCCTTAATAATAGATAAGGTACTATGCTGCATGGCTCTATTAATGATATTTTCTGAGTTTCCAACCTTATTCCTGTCATTTATTATTATTATTTCTTTCCAAGAGTGTGGATTTTTGAAGTTGGCAACAGGCAACCTCAGGGCAAAGAAAGCTCTATAATACATCTCTGTCTAGACACAAGCTGAAGTGTGGAGTGCCTTTACTTTTGAGTGCAGACATAAATCATGCAGCATTGCTCATGAATGATTCATGACTGTCTATATGATGTATCCATGGTGGCAACTGAAAGGCACCAACCTTGCTGCAAATTGGTGTTCTAAGGGAAGGTGGCTTGATGTTCTTCCTCAGGATGGTGCCAGCATGGCTCTTTGTATCATAACACAAGCACAGTGTGCGTAAAAATGTCAGGTCCAACTCGTCGGCACATTAATTTTGGAAATGACAACTCTTGATGACAGGAGATGCTTCCAGGGAGGAGAGGCTGACAATTTTAAATGAAAAACCAGTTGACAAGACTAAAAAAATACGTTTCCTGAGGGTGGGCCTATAGCATTAGAAGCCTCACTCTCTATGGAGAAGACTGAGCCCTTGGGAATACTGACTGTACATGTTCCAAAGGGATCAGAAGCTCACAAAAGCCACACGTGCTGCTAGAGCTTGCCTAGTGTGTTCCCTGGCAGAAACCACTACCGATTATTCTAGGCCACTGGTTCTCAACCAGGTGAAATTATGCCCCTCACTCCCACTCCTTAAGGACATCAGGCAATATCTGGAGACATTTGGTTGTCACCCGCCGCTGGGATGTTGCTACTGGCACCTAGTGGATAGAAGCCAGAGATGCTGCTAAACATCCTAAAAACACATAGGACAGCCCCCACCAACAGACAATGATCTGGCCCCAAATGTCAATCCTACTAAGATTGAGACTCCTTGCTCTAGAATATGGCACTCTACAGGAGCTATGGCAAAGCCCAGCTTGGGGGAGCAGAAAAAGAAAGAACGCTGATAATAAAGACAACTGTAAAGTCTCTTCAAGGACCCTATCAGATCTGTGCCAGGGTTTTTACGACAGGAGCATGGAATAAGCAACTAACTATGCCATGTGTTTTCAGAATTGTTAATTTTGCACTTGAATTGAGGTGGCATCAGATACCCTGTGTATTTTGTTTTTTCTGTTACTATACTAGCAGCATTACCAGGGCAACCTGGAGACTCTTCAAAGGTTCATTTTAAGTTTTCAGTATCTAATATATACATTTTAAAAAATGTTCAACAAATGGAATTGTATTGTGCAAGACTCACTCTACCCTAATCTTTAATTTTAATCAGCACTTGAGGTGGAAAGAGTGTCCTGAATCTGTGTTTCAGACGTAGGGCTGAGTGGTTGTTACTACAACATGGCAAATACAGTCCTGAACTACAAAAACTGCCAGTGTGTACTACTGACTTTTAGCCAAATCTGAACTCAAAAGCCAGAGATGTTCAGAAGGATTTGGATTCACAGTGGGGTTTCTCACCCTGGTTCTGGTATTTATATTGCCCGATGACAGAGTGAGTTTAGAGTGTGTTTAGTTACAAACCAAACTCAAATTTCACATCATGAAAAAGTCTGATGATTAATGCTACAATTTTAAAGATCTGTCTCTCTTTGGATTCTTCAGTTAAGCTCATGGTGTTCTTTACATAATAGATTTTGATTGGCAGTTTCAAGGTTTTCCATGTGAAATGTGTGGTTTGTAAGAATTGTGAGCCCCCACCTAATGGACAAAGTACTTGTTCCCAACCTTGTCCAGCAATAGGTCCGTCTATGTGCCCACCCCCCTTTCCTTAGTCTACAGGGCATGATTCACCCTAGAGGAGCAATTGACTGGATGCTCTTGTGTCTCCCAGCTCGGGAAAGATCTTTCCCCTGACATTCCTTCACCAAACCTTTTTTGACACAACTCAAAACTTTACTGTGCGCAGTCAAATCTAGCCCCTTAGACTCTACAAGTGAAAAAAAAAAAAAAAAAAAACACAGGAGAACAATGCCATGTACGATGTACAGAAGAGTAAAAATGAAGTAAACCAGGGGACAGTGAGCTGGTAGGTCAGAGGCATCACCAGGGAAGGAGCCTGTGCAAGGCTATTTCTTTCTTTTTGTTCCAGAAATCTGTTCGTCAAGTCACCATCAAGCATTGGTAAATACAAAAGCGATTTAGATAGCTATATACTATATATATTTTATATAGCAAGAGAGAAAGAGAAATTTCCTCTTAGTAAAATATTCACTTTTGTCAACCCTAGAAGGTTTTGCTGGTGACCCTGTTGTAGCTGGCAGGAGTTTGTTTTGTTTTGTGTTAAACATGTGCAGTGTTGAAGCCATAGCATCCTTTCCTAAGAACTTGTCATTGGTTGGAAGTTTGTCCTACACAGTCTGCTTGCCTTGGCATTCACGTTTTGAACACTGAGCAGGCTTCCACCAGTCCCCGTTGTGACAGTGACAGATGTTACATTCGTCCACTTTCACTTCAATGCCAGCTGGAATTATTGTAGTTCCTGCAAAGCAGTTTGGACCTGGAACACACAGATACATTGATTAGTTGATTAAATCTGCAAGCCTCCCTTTCTCCCCACCATCCAAACCCAAGCCCCAAAGCCATGAATGAGTAGGTCAGACTACTGACTTATCAAGGAATTTTCTAGCCATCTCCTTGAAATTCCGCTATCTTTTGCACACAGCTCATATTTCCCATGTATATCGTGAACTTAAATAAAAAGAGACAATCTTCAAAAAAAAATCGTATTGTCTGCTTCCTGAGTACATGCAGTTTTCTAAATTTAGGTTCTGTGGGTTAAACTCTATTTGTTTTGTCCTCTGGGATGTAAAGGCTGCCAGTGTATGCTCTGAAACACGAGGGAGTGCTGACATGGTCTGCCTCAGATGGTGGCACCCGTGGCCTGCCCTCTCCCTTCCTGTGGTGGGTTTGAGACAATAAACTCGCTCGTTCCCCAGTTTCAGTGCCTCCCCAGCGCAGTTCCTGGAATCCCCAGCTTGTTTCTTGATAACAATGAATAATTCATGACCAGATGATTTATTCATGTCCTGAACAAGCTTTGTTAGAGGTTCATTTGATTTTTATAAATGGACTTCCTTTAATCTGCTGGCTATCTCTTTTTTTTTTAAAGAATGACCCAAAATAGTGGGCTTTTGAAAGTCAGCAGGAATTTTGTTTTACTTTTTGACATTCAAAAGCCTTATTGAAAATGTCCCCTGCTCATTATAGATGAATGTTTTAAAAATTCACCCATTTCAGGTTTTTAAATTCTTGTCTGTCTTTCCCTCCTTTCTCTTACTTTCCCCTTACTTTCTTGCATTTTTTGACCTTCCCAATGTAGGAATACCAGTGTTCAGTGTTAGTTATTACATAGTTTCCAAATTCAAATGGAATAAAAATTGCTTCCCAAAGTGCAATGGATTATAGTAGGGTGGTACAAATTGTTCTTTCTTTGAAGCAATTTGGTATTAGGTCTCTGAAGTACACATTTGGGTAAAGAGAGAGAACATTGAGTTATGTCTACCAGTGATTTATTAACCCGGCATTACTGGCCACTCACCACAACCACTACAAAGTAATAAGGCAATGCATATCAACATCAGTGCCCTACTTTCACCTTCTTACCCCCTTGATAAGTAAGACTGTCTTTACCATCAAATAAATGAAATGTGGGGCTATGTGTAGTTCCACTTCATATTTGGAGTCTTGCTTTTATAAAATTATAATTAATTATACAACATATACTTTTCAACACAAAGCTATTCAATATGTTATGGTTTTAATTGCCCATTGTTTCAGAACTCCCAGACCTCAACACTTACCGGTGGTGGAGTGCCTATGCCTTTCTTCACTCTGTAACACAAACGCTTGGCATGTGCTCAAGCATAAAAAGCCACGCAGAGCAGGAGGGAATAAGGGTCAGCTCTGATAAGTAGCTAGCAAGCTGTCAGCCTTCGCCTGGGTGGGTGCTTCTTGTTCACTTTTTGTTGTTGTTGTTTTTTGAGTCAGAGTCTCACTCTGTCACCTAGGCTGGAGTGCAGTGGCACAATCTCAGCTCACCGCAACCCCCGCATCCAGGAGTCAAGCGATTCTCCTGCCTCAGCCTCCCAAGTAGCTGGGACTACCTGGCTAATGTTTTATATTTTTAGTAGAGACAAGGTTTCACCATGTTGGGCAGACTGGTCTTGAATTCCTGACCTCAGGTGATCCACCTGCCTTGGCCTCCCAAAGTGCTGGGATTACTGGCGTGAGCCACCATGCCCAGTCTTGTTCTGAGTCTATGATTCTAAGCCACTGGCCATCCTTATTGCTGATTATTTAAGGGCTACAATATTCCATAGGTCTTGGGATTTAAGTCATTGTTTGATAGATTCGACTGCCTTTGGGTCTACAGCTCCCTGAGAAAATTCAACACCAAACTGTGAATTTGTTCTGGACCCAGAACTGAGGGAGTCTTCAGAGAACTTGGCAGAGAGGTTTTTTCCAGAATGTAGCTTATTCTCCTAGGGCCCTTGTTGACAGACCTCTCTCAGCCCAACCAGTTGTAGGTCAAACAGGGTCTTGCCAGGGCTAACCTAGTTTTAGAAATCATACTAGAGTGAACGTCCACCTGTTTGCCTGGCATCAAACTGGAGGAGGCAGTGGTTCCTCTTACCACCTGTCCACTTGTAACCAAGTCTTTTTACCCCAATTGTGTACTTTTAGCTTTTCCAGGTGGGAAAAAAAAATTCTACATAGTGGTTTTAAAAGAAGTCCCTGAACCAGGCAATATATTATCCAGTAAGAGTTTTCCCAACTTCTTGAGGAAATTTGGATATTTGACAGTCAGAAGAAGCTTAACTGTGTGAGCATGTGAGCATGCGTGTGTATGTGTATGTGTAGAGACATGCTACTGGCTCACAGGAGGCTGGATAATATCAGTGGCACAATAAGAGAGACAGGCAGGGAGGAATCTTTGTGAAAAGAGAGTTCTTACAAATCTCTATGCATATCCTGAAGGGATATTTGACTGGAGCTCTGGTTTTCATATCCACCCCTTTCTGCATATGCTGATATCGAACTATGGTTAGTGTGTAGTTGACTAACCTCTATACACCATTTCTTCAGAGTCATTTAGAATTTGCTGCACTCTCAGCTCAAGAAATATTAATGACTGTATATTGATTGACAGAATGCAAAGAAAGATCCTTTGCACGTGCCAGGCCTAACCAAAGGCACTTCTGTAAATTATATGGTAAGCTCTCACCTCTACCTGATAGCCAGAGGTATTTTACAGAATCAAAAATTCCTGTTTGATCTCATTAGCTCTAGTAGTACAGTGATTTTTTATTAGTACCCTTCTGAGAACCTTAGGTGTAACTACAGAAGTCTCAAGTTTGCTGTTAATAGTCTTATCTGCTTAAAAGTAATTTAGATAATTGTCAAGCAGAATGGTTGGCATTATTTAAAAATGGTTCTGGTTTTAGCCCTTCTTCCTTAATAGTGGTGACAGTAAATGCAGATTTGCTTTGAGCATATGAGAGCCCACCATGAGTTCTTTACGTAGCAACTGTATCCTTCTATCTATTGTCTACCTTGTATTTGGGGACTGCTTTCTTTTTGTCTCGGTAGATGTAAGGGAATACGTTTCTTAGAGTGAATTCAATGGCAAAGCAACATATTTTAATGCAGAGGATTTGGAGAGACTCCAGAGGGGAACAATGAAAATGATTAAAGTGAAGGCAGGCAAATAGGACCTCTGAGAAAAGGTTAAGGGGATTGGAATTATTTAATCTAGAAAGAGAAGATGGAGGAATAACTCAATAACTCTCAAAGAATGAAGGCTTATTATGTAAAAAATGGTGACCAACTGTTATCTCCTCCTTCTGGGGCCTAGAATAGGAGGAAATGGAGACATATTGATTCTCAATGAATTGAACACACTTACACATCATGTAAATTCTTCAGAGGACTGAGAACTGAATGTAGTAGTTGCCAACAATGTGGTGTGGTCTTCTCTTTTAGTGATCTTTAAGAATATAGGAGGTAGGCCGGTTGTGGTGGCTTACACTTGTAATCCCAGCACTTTAGGAGGCTAAGGCAGGAGGATCACTTGAGCCCAGGAGTTTGAGACCAGCCTGGGCAACATAGTGAGACCTTGTCTCTATCAAAAACAGAAAGCCAGGAGTGGTGATGTGCACCTGTTGTCCCAAATACTGGGGAGGCTGACTGGGGAGGATTGCTTGAGCCCAGGAGGTCGAGGCTGCAGTGACCTGAGGTTTTGCCAGTACACTCCAGCCTGGGCAACAGAGGGAGCCGCTGGGGGTGGGGGGGAGAGAGAGAGAGAGAGAGAGAATGAATATGAATGAAAGAATATGAATGAGAGAGAGAATGAGAGAAAATATAGGTATTATCTGTCAGGTATGGTTTAAGTAGTCAGATCCTTGAAGACAGGAACTGAAGCTTTGTTATTTCTTATGGTCCAGGTCTACTACTGTGTCTGACAAATATTAGGAAAGTATAAATTTTTTTAACTGAATGAAATAATATAAAGTACGTATATATTGGAAGTGAACTTAATTTCTGAACTTATGAATCAGGCTTTGAATGTCAAGCCTAGGGTTAGTATTAAATGTATAGGAGTATTTGGTAATGAATGAAAACACATGGTGATCATTTCTTGAACATTTACTTCAGGCCAGAAATTTGTCTCATTTAATTATTACAACAAACCACATAAAAAGGTGCATGTTCTTACCTTCAGGACACTGAACCTCACAGATAAATCTCCCTGAAATCACATGTCCAGGAAGTGGCATCAGTGGGATATGAATTCAAATCTCTCTGAACTATAAGATGCTTCTAATTGCCCAGGAAAAGAGGCAGGTAGCTAGGAGTGCATTACTGTATTCCTTTGCCCAGATCCTGAGCTTCTGATCAGAATTTAGAAGTCTAGTTGGTTTTTGTGTTTGCATACTGAGGCAAGAAATTTGATGTGGTTAGAAACAAGTGAGACTGGTTTTTCTACAGGTCTTTATCAGATTTACTGGTTTTATATTGTGTATTTATATAGTCTTCAGGAATCATAATTTATTTAAAACTGAAGGAAATTTCTCATGGAGAAGATGCTTGGGCGGTTAGACTTTCCTTTTGGCAGCAGTGAAGTTCTCACTGCTACCGGATGTAGACCAACCAAAAAGCGGAATGAAAGTGGTCCATAACTCAAGAGACCTGGCTCAAGTGGAGGTTCTATGACTTATCAGCTCAAGTGCTCTCTAACCCCCACAAAAATGGGAGTCTATGTGGTCTAGTCTCAGGATTCATGTTTTTGAAAACGTGATAAAATTGGAAACAGAATTTTTTACTGGGAGTTTGGAGCTAGGAGCAAAGAGGAAAAGGTAGGAATAATCACACATGAAAACTTTTTTTTTTTTTTTAACAAGACACATGAGTAATTTTCCCTGCCGGGCATGGTGGCTCACATCTGTAATCCCAGCATTTAGGGAGGTCAAGTTGGGTGGATTGCTTGGCTGGAGTTTG